GATGAAAAACAGACTCCAACTGGTCTTCAGAAAATCTACTTTCTCATGTATACTCTCCTCACACTCAATAAATACAGTGTTTTCATTGTACCCAACAGACAGCAAAGATGTCTTTTACCTTGTTTGCTCTGTACTACAAAGATACCCCAGATACATCAATTAATACTATGGCAGTTTTCACATAAATCTTACAGATATCCTATCCCAGGAAATCCACTGGCTACAAAAAATCCCATACAGCACTGCTGGCAATGAAAATGAAGTGAATGGGAGTTTAAGCATTTCTTCTCACAAGAAGCCTTTTTCTTTTTTTTAAGCTTGCTTCAGTGTGTGCCAATATAGTAACATACATTATCAGTGTACTAGCTTTCATTCCAACAACAACAAATTTATTTCTGCATGTATTTTAAATTAAAATTTTAAAATAAAAAATTTGTATCAAAAGTCATCAGTTTGGGACACTCCCACATGCAGCACAGGCACACAAGCAAATCAGCATATTAAAGAACATTATAGATTATATTTTTAAATTGTGCCTTGAAGTGTTTGTAAAACAAAAGGTTGTTTTGTAAAAACAACCAAACTTTTCTCGTAATAAAAAAAAAAAAGAGATGATGGTGACTGCTTAGATCCAACTCTCCCCAAACCTCCTCCAGAAATTCATAAAAAGCAACTATGAAATCAAAATACCCACAACCTATCCTTCCATTGCAAATGAGAGACAAAGAAATTACAAGCTAAATTTTTTTCTAAATGGAGTAACAAGTATCCGGGACCAATACAATCCAGGCTGAATTTACACTTTTACAGAGGAAATCCTAAAGAATCTGAATGGATAAGTAAGAAGTGAAGGTGCCTCAGTGGAGGAGCCCATGTGTTATCAACAAGGCCTCCCTTCAGAAAGAGAGAGCATGGTCCAGAATGGGATGACAGTACTAAGACCAAGTATATGAATTAAACTGATAAATGAAAATGGCCAAGGTCTATACAAGAGAAAAATCTTTTAAGCTTGGACCAAAAAAAAAAAAAAAAAAAAGCCAAATCCATGCTGCATACAAATACATACCTAAAACAAAGTGATTCAGAAAGGTTAAAAATGATTTTTTTGGATGGCCAAGTAGGCAGATATAAACAAAAAGAAATTATATCAAAGTAAAATTTAGTCATAAAAGCATTAAAGAGACAAAGAAGGGAACTTATAATTTTCAAGGCTAAAATTCACAATAAAATTAACACTGTTAAGAATATCCAACATGGAACAATATTCATAAAGCAGAAACCAAAGACATACATAAAGAAATAGGCTGATTAATAACAGACACATTTAAAGTAGCTCAACTCTTTCTTTCAGTCCAAGGTAAATCAAGTAGACAGAGGACACCTAAAGCAAATGATCACTAAGGTAGATTTTTAGAGGTGAAAACATAAACTCAGTATATATTCCAACAAAAAAATGACCTTCTTTTCAAGTACACATGAAATTTTCATGAAAACTAGCCATGTATTAGGAAAACCAGGAGTTTCAAAAAGCATAAATGACACAAAAATTATTCTCCAACTATCATGAAATAAAACTAGGAAAAATAACAATAAAAATAGTTTTTCCATATGGAAATCTGAAATCCTGGTTAAAAGATAAAATATATCATAAAATTGTAGAACTGATGAAAAGACCTACATATCAGAAGTTACAGAATTGGCAGCATTCAGAGAAAAAGACTGAAAAAGGATTAAAAAACTGAATTAAAAAAAATATACTCAAAAACAGAAATGAACAACATAATAAACAGAAGAAAAGCAAAAGGAACTGGCATTAACATGTATTAATGGTAGAAGTGCAAAATGGTATAACTCATATAAAGTGCATCTGGCACTATCTTCCTAAATTAAAGACATCTTTTGCCCCTGAAATATATATGTATCAGGAAACTAACCTAAAGATATACCTGATAAAGTATGAAATGATGTAGGTATCAGGCTAGTCATTATGGTAATGTGGAACACTGTAAACCATCCACCGTCCATCAACCAGGGACCAGTGGAATAAATTCTGGTCCATCCACAAAATCGAGTACTATAAAGCCATGGAAAAAGAATGCTATGAACTCCATATATGTTATTACATGAAAAAAAGCAAGATAAAGAAGAGTACTTCAAATATTCTGTATTTTGTGAAAGGAAGTATTAGCATATATACATATACTTCTTAGATATGGTCTATGTATGTATACTTACATACACATATATTATTGTACACATATATACATAAATATCTATATACAAAAGCAGGTGGTAGAACAGGGTGAAAAGAACAGGGATGAAAGCACAGTCTCTTTGAGTATGCCTTTTTTAATGCAGTTTAACTGTGGAAACATACATGCTTTACATATCAAAAATAAAATTGAATCAAATGGGAAAAGTAAACTAATTATATTTCAAGTTCATAACATAATCACAAAGATAAAGTAATTCAGATGATCACATGGGGGGGGGGGACAAAGTGCAAGGACCAAAAGAAATGCAAAAAAATCTCAAAATTATTTTAGTAGTTTTCTTCTAAATACTTCTAAATGCTTTTCTAATATTGGCATTTTTGTTTTGAAACTATTTTATGGATATTATAATAGATAGCAAATAGTTATGTTAATGTTGATATCAATCAAGAAAGAGAAAGGGAATGCAACTATAATGTTCAAAAAGTAAATCTGAATTGGAGATATAAATGTTTGATATGTTCAATCAAAATCACAGGACAGGACAATTTGAGTATCAAAAAGTATAGTAAGACAAGTTACTGATATAAGAATAAGTATTCATAAGAATTCTGAGAAAGAGAGAATAGTAGGGAGAGAGAAAACAAGTGCAAAAACAAAGTAAAAAAATCATATGGCACCACTGAAAGTAATGAGGGCCACTAAGATCTTACTGTAAAAATCTGTCAATACAAAGGTAGGCATCTATTCCTGTATTTTTCTCTACAAACTATTTCAAGATAACCCACCAGCTCTTATTAAACCAGTGTTTAAAAGGTGGAAGGCATGTTCAGATTAGAAAACGCATTTTTCGTATCCCCAGTTGCGACTACTGATTCAGGCCACATTGATCAAAGTACGAAAGCATCAGATAAAAGTTTGCTGGAGAACTTTATAATGGAGGATTTAGGCTATCACTAGCTATATCCAATACTCAATTGTAGCATCATCAAAAGCAAATAAACACTATATGACTCCTGATGTAAGGCAATGTGAAGCACAGAGCGCCACCTACGAAAAATTCCTGCTCAAAAGGCTGAATTTGAACTTAATCAAGCCCGTTGAGCTAACTTTAATTTATAAGAAATGAAATATTTACAGGCTTAGTGAAACAACTTTAGTATACTAAAGGGAAGTAAATGGACAAACAAAATGTGGGACACTGTATTGGAGAATTAATGTAGATTTTGCAACAAATCAATGGCGTGGAGGAAAAAAATGGGAGGACTATTACAGATTAGAGTCTTCAGAGACCTAACGTACATGTAATATGTGGTCATTGTGTCATGATTCAAAAAAACCCATATAATTTTGAAAAAATAAGGATATTTAGATTATGAATTATCTGTTGATTAAAGAAAACACTATTATTTTCATTAGGCATCACAATGCATTGTAGTTAAATAAAAAAAGACCATATTATTAAAAAACATCTCCTGAGGTATGAAAGGATAAAATATTATGATTTAGGGATTTGCTTTAAAAAAGAAAAAAAATTAAATCAAAACCAAAAATAGTCATGATGGATCAAATGTTGAATACAGTTATATGGAATCCCCATGTATTCATTTTTTGTAAATATTTAAAATTTTCAACAATAAAAAAAAATGAAAGAAGAGACAAAATATAAGCAAAAAAAGAAACTAATATCAAGAAGGCCTACGTACAATCAGGCCTAAATACAGGAAGTCGGCTTACTTCTACTCCTCCATCTGCTCCTCTCCCACTCCCTGATATTTCAGTCCAGATCACATTTCCTAATCACTATAGGATGGAGAAGGTGGAAAGGAGGTACCTTTGGGGGAATCCAACAATTTTAGCCATTAGTAGTACACCAGAGTAGTTCTTATCTAGTTCATAATTTTTTGGCAACCCTTGATGATTCACTAACCATTATTTAAGCCCCTATGAAGTCGCTTGAAAACTCTCACAAGTTAAATATTTTAAGAATATTAAGCCAGGTAATGAAAAAAATGAGATTTTTATTTTAGAATTCCCACACTGGAAACGTATAGAAATGAGTTGAAGCTGAATTTCGGTGGGTAGAAGAGACACATTGGGTAGTAAGAAGTGAGAACAAGAACAGAACACTTTCACAACACTTGACAACACGGGGTAAGAGAGATGAGGCAATGAAAGGAATGAATGGCCATGGGAAGACTCTGACACGAGGCAGGTTATAAGTGACAGAAGAAGGCACCAGAGAAGAATGACAGGTGTATTTACAGAAAACAGAAAGGCTGGCCTTACACAAGAAAAGACATTCCTGTCACTGAATTACATGGATTATAAAGAATAAGAGTGGGAACAGATATAGATATTCAGGTATATAGATGCACAGACAGAGAGTAGTGATGGAAGGGTTTACCAGGAAAGGGTTATGACAGGTGCTGAGAAGTGCAGAAAGCATAGGATCCTTAAAAATATGATGGACCTGAACTGAGGTGTTATATTCCCCAGTAGAGCTCAGATCACTAGTGCTTATAAGGAAAGAAATGGGGAGGTGAATATACTAATCTGAGGCGCTACGAACAACCACCCCATTTGCCAGTGGTGGGAGAATATTCCTTGTGTATACATTAAAGCTAATTTTATTTCCTTCATAAATCTGGATAAAAGATTAAATAAGTATGGCTTGAATGAAATAAGCAAATTAGTGATGGTGGCCTATTCTTCAAAAGGAATAAATGAAACAAAATATAACCATGAGAAATAAATGTCTATATATTCAAATTTCATTGTTCTCACCTATTCGAGTGATTTTATTATGTGAAAGTTCAAGATTTTGGATATTAGTGCAGCCATCCAAACCATGAAAAGAAGTCAGTTGATTTTTATTAAGAAGAACAACACTGAGATTTTCCAAATTTTCACAGTCGATAGTCTCAATGTGGTTTTCCTAAAACAAAGAACAAATGTAATTAGTTTTATTTCAAGGGCTTATTATTGAAATGTCTAAAGCTTGCAAAAAGAGGAAAGATGAGATATATGATCTTCAAATGAATATCTGAATCCCTGACTTTTAAGATAACTATGCAGAATCTTATATTATCTAGATGAAAATATTAAGTAACCAAACAAATAATTAACTGATTTTGTATTTATTAATAATCTTTTAAAATATAGGAAATATAGAGTCTTATATGACAAAATATTTCAAACAATTTAAATGAACAAGAGTAAACATTTGGTCATAGTTGCTATAAAACTTTTTTTTTTTTTAAAGAAGTCAAGCAATGAAAAAGTCAAAATCTCCCCATTCCCCCTCCTCGGTCCCTTTTGCTTTCTTCCGCTATAGAATTGAATTAGGCATGTATCTCATATATAGATTTACACATTTATTAAACATACCCAATTCTGTAATACATAATGTTGGTCTTGACATCAAGATATGTTAAGAATGCAACAGCAATTCTCTTTTTCAATACTTCAGAAAGATAAATGGGCCTTTAAGAATCTTAAGGGTATAGTCTCACAGCATCCCTCTCAAAATACCTATGAATATAGCCTTTGTCTAATGGAGTAAACTTACTAACAAGCATAGGAAACCCACAAAGTTTGAAAAGAAAATCATATTGGTGAAAGCTCTGTCAGTTTAAACTGAAAAGAGTGTAACTCAAACAAACAAACAAACAAAAAAACCCACTGGACATCCTCATAATCTTTTATGGGAAATAAACAGGTTAAGAAAAATTACCAGCTGCAGAACAGGGCACTTCTTATGGAAAAGAAAGTATGCTTTGAGAATGGAGTTAAAAGCCTAGAGGGCAGAACCAAGAGTCACAGAGAACCATTCCTATGGAGTAGAACCAAGTCCTTATTACAGAATTGATGATATGTGCTTAGTTATGGACCAAGAACTACCAAGAGCTTCTTGTCTTCTCCATATTGAATGGGAATGACTCTTGTAATTAATTAGTCCTGTCTCACCATTGTATATGGGTATGTGCAGGCGGGAGTAGGGAGGGAAGACAAGTCTTCATTTAACTTCATAGATCACAGAGTTGAAAACTCTCTAAGAGCAGATCATCTCCTCCTGTATCTGATTTAGATGAGAAGTTTCTGTACTTCAAATCTGAGTCTGATGCCACAAGCTGATGAGACTTTGGGATCTTTAGGACATAAGTATCTTTTGTACGTGGGAAGGATGTGGCTTATTAGGAGCCAGGGGGTAGATTACGGTAGACTGTTACTTTGAGAGCACCTCCCAACAAACCTCACAACCCAATATTGACACATCCACACAGTCCCCTCCCACATGAGCTGAAAGCTTAGCCAACAGAACATAAGTTAGCATGATGCCAGCAGATGCTTGATAAGCGCTTCATATTGAAGTTTGTCTTTTTGGAACGCTTACCCTGTAAAGATACCCAAGATAGCAGACACACACACACAGAGAGAGAGAGAGAGAGAGAGAGATTGGAATTCCAACCTCCCAAGGCACCAGACATGCAAAAGACATAGACATTTTGGACATTGCAGCCCCAGCTGCAAATTACATAAGAGACACAGTATGAAGCAGATGAAATGCCCAGACAAGCCTGCCTCAATTCATGGCCCACAGAACTGTGAGCAAATCAAATGGTCACTGTTTTTAATTCACTGAGTAAGGTGGTCATTTGTTATACAGCAAAAATTAACAAAAACAATAACTATATCATCTGTAAGTAGAGAGAAGTAATTTCCGGGTCATATCACCTAATCATTTCCCTTGTATGGTTCTCACAAGTTTTGACCCTTGACCTCTTGAGACCCTAAATTACACGTTATTTTAATAAATTTTTCTTCAAAATTATCATTTCTTAAGTGTACACATGAATTCATTTTATATTTTAAGATAAAGAGTAGAAGAGAAGACATACCTGTGCATCAATGTACTTTAATTTTTTGCAGTTACTCAGGCTGTGCAAAGAAGTTAATCCACAGCGTCGAAGAGACAGAAACTGAAGATTTGTACACTCTGTCAGTGTGGAGACGTTACAGCCTGGCAAATCTTGAAATGTAATTGTTGTAACCTAGAGAATTCAAGAAAATTGGAGAGCACAGCACTATCTGACTATAATGAATATAAACTATTTCAGCCTTGCAAACCTGTTTTTACAAAATTCATCTAAGAAAAGTAATGCTATATATTGAAATCCATATTTATTAACAATTCAATTTCATTGAAGCTATCTGGCCACCTTGCCACTTTTGTTTCCTCACAGAAAGGCAAATTAATGCAAACATTTATGATCAATTCAATTCAAGAGTAATATGCATAGAAGCAATAATATACTCATTTATTAGTTCACTTCCTGATTTTTCACCAAATTCACTTTCCTTGTTTTTCATGTCCTTGGTATTATTTTCAGAGTTACACTATATAAATGTTTAGGACCCGTGTTTGACAGTATCTTATGGGATACCTGAAAAGTACCAGAAGTCACAACAGGCCAGGGGATAGATTTTATATCTAATCTGCCATGCTTCAACTAGAATAGCTCAGTTATCTTCGAAAAGAGAAGCAAGTTTGACTGAGAAGAGATATTATAGAAACTGTAAGAAGTAGAAACATGCAATAATAATTGAATCATGTAAAACACAAACAACATTCTATTACAAGTCTTCTGTATTAAAAAGGTATGAATTATTCTTTACTACTGAATAATGTAATATACCCAGAGCATATAGAATCTGCAGTATAACAAATCATGAATAGTAATTACGTTTACATTTACAACATTTCTTATTATTGAGATATTACTGTGAACTCAATACTCCATAAAGCTTTTTTCCTAAGGAACATTTCTCTTTTTGGTTTAAGTCTTTTTAACTAAAGAAAATTCAATATCAAAGAATGTATTTAATTCTATGGCATGTCTATTAAGGGCTACAATTACAGTTCTACAAGAATATGTCAGGGAAATTTTTTGAGATTACTGAAAAGCAGTCCACTTATTAAACTCAAGAGATCTCACTCAAGCAAAATTGGCACAGGAATAAGTTAGTAACATGTTAGTTCTTCACTATGATTGAGTCCCAGCACTGAAATAACTGTACGATCTAAATCACTTCGTAGGAAGAACTTTTTCATATTTTCATATTGCCACATTACAAATCCTAAGGCTAAGTTTCCTACGTACTGAGTAACAATTTTTAAATTATTCTTTATAGGAAGAGTTTAGTGTATATCATACTCAAAAGAAATTCGGGTCTATTGAAATTTATACCACTATTGGTTCTGAAAAAGCTGGAAAAGTATAAAATTCTTAACTGCAGTCAATCCTCTACATATGAAGTATTTCCTGTGCATTCAATTAAATTAAGTTTTGAATTTACACATTTATGTAAGTGAATGAGAAGACCACATGTTCACGGACTATAAAGAAAGGATTAGTCTACTCCTTGCTTTAAGTAGCGAAAGCAGTAACTAATATCTTAAAAAACTTGGTGAATAAAATTTTCTAGTTTCATAATTATTTTAGCAATTTCTCAATTACGCATAACCTAAAACAACTTTTGAAACTAATTTCTCTTTCATAACTTTTCAGAGAGAAAAGTATTCATCCACTTGTGTCAAGATAAGTGCTGTGTAATGCTCATTTAATCTGTCCACAAAGAACTACTATAAATTATGTAATTGGAAAACAGGCTCTATACTAAAACACTGAATGCACTATCCAGACTTGAGCACTTAAAAACTGAAAACCCTACAGCTGCAACTTTATGGTAACAGATGCTACTCTACCTTATAATTTATATTATCCTTCCCGATATAATTATACGCTGCTTACAATCAACTATATAAACATATAAACACAATTAAGTTCTGGCTATTATGATGTGGCGACCTAATTACAGTGCAGGAATGACAACTGCTGCAGTGTCCTTGTGAAGGTCCTACTTTTGAATATGAGGCATTTCATGCCATTTTCTCCTCCCTTTTATTAAACATTTAAAATTTTTTCCTTATGCTATAGAAATTTATTCTCTACCCCACACAACATGTGAAATTAAATAAATTTTTACATCTCTATTTACATCTACATGCATGACAATAATCACATAAACAAAACTGCTTTATGCTCCCAAAATTGAGGTCAATACAGAGTGAGTCCTCATAGGTGTTCATTACTGTGTGGTTAGCCTGAAAAAGGGCAACTGGGGCACAGTGAATGGTCACTAAATGCTTCCTAAATAACTGAATGAATAAACCTCCCTAGCCCTGTGACAAAACTAAAATATATTTATAGCATTCATAGTTTCTTTCCCTTATAAAAGGTAATATAAAAATATTTGAAAAAATAATATTTTAGGGCTCTCATGATTTGAAAATAAACTGGTCCACCTATAGAAGCTATGACTCATTCATTATATTTTAATAAAAGATCACAATTCAGTTTTCCACTTAATCACCTGTATTTCCCCAAATCCTAGACAGTTTTGGTACATAAAACTGAGTTCACTCTGTTATTCTTGAGTTCAGCCCAAGGAGTGTCAGTCATCTATGGTAAACTAAATGCAAAAGTAATGAAAGCATGACTCTGTGTTTTGCTTTGTTTGGTGCCACAATCTCAAATCTATTCAACGTGGAGAAATAATATTGTTTAAAAAATCGGCTGCAAAGAGGTAGAATCTGAGCTATGATTAGTGGCTTAAAGGAAAGAGAATCTAACTTTAATCCTGTACTGTCACACCAGTTTATTACAATTTGCCTTGAATGAAGGAAGTAAGACACTCTGATCTAAAAGTTAATTATCTCCTAAAATCTTATCCATGCTGTTATAAACTCATAGCAAAAAAAAACAAAAAAACAAACAACAACAAAAAAAACCCTTTAAGCTAGTACTCTTTTTTGTCACTGTTATTTAAAAGCAAGTTATCATTAGTAGCAAAATATCAAAAATAAAAGAAAAATGAATTAGTTAAAGCACTGAAACTAGAAAAAAATAAAAA